GTTAGCCGAGGGTTTGGATCAAATTATTCACAACAAAAACTTTAGGTGTTGATATTTTACTCGCACAAAAAAACACTTAAGTTACTTACCATATTTTTTAGTATCTGCCACTAATCACTTGTTGTTTTGCACTGATCTGTAAAGGTTTTTTGTCCCTGTCAGTTACTCTTACCAGAATAGGACTAATACCTCAATAATATAAAATGAAAAATTTATTTGTTTCTTGTTTCTTCTTACACATTTCACTAGCGGCTATTCGTTTAATCAATTTGGGTGATGAACAGTAATAGGTTAGTTAGTTTGTTGTGCTCTATACCCTTTTAGCGTTATGTAGTTGTTATCTACTAGCTTATTCTCCAAAATGCTAAATTTTTTCATCATGTTTTTTTTGTTTTTGCATCTTCTTTGGTCCATGTTAATTGTTCTCATGATTTTCAAAATTGCAGAGTCTTTTCTAGGTATGGTATTCGTAGCTTGCCTTCAATCCTGATGGTGAATGAAACATTGAAGATGCGATTCCATGGTCAAAAGGATCTTGCATCCCTGATTCAGTTTTACCAGGAAACAACAGGTGAGAGCGTTCTTCATGAATTGCAAGACTGCTTCTATGTTTGTGCTTTCTTCTCGTGTTTTCTGTGTATCTGAATAAATCAGTACCAACTTCTTGAATCCCTTGAAGAAACATGAATGCCTTAAAAATCAATCATTGTAACTTTTGTTCTAACAAGCTTGTGTCTCTGTGGCTGTCCAGGTCTTAAACCTATCCAATATGTGGATGAAGATGAACCAACAAGCTTGGACACTGATGGTAATCTGATCACATGGCTACACAACGGGTCGTCTATAAGAGAAATAGCAGAAAGAGAGCCATATCTGGTACTTGCACTGATGTTTCTGTCTTTGAAGCTGGCAATTTTGATCTTCCCCGTAATGGGATCGCGTTTGAAAACGTTATGGGCGTCTTATGTTCCGCATCTGAGCTTGGGAATACTCGGTGAGACTAGCCAGCTGTTTGGCCGTGCACTGCACATGATCGATGTGAGGAGGCTGTGGATGAAACTTAGACTCACCAAAACAAGGAACTTCCAAGAAAGAGCAAAGAACGCACTTGCATCGGTCTCACTAGGAAAATCTACATCACAATCAGCCTAAAAAGGGTGATTGAGAAATCCCTTCAACGTCGATGAGCTTAGTTAGATTACTTTACTTTTTATGGACATGTTTCTTTAACTTTGGAGTTCCTCTGTCTCTGTATGTAAAAAAATCCTGATTTCCTTCTTTTGTGAATAGTTTTCTACCTTTTTCGAATATTCTTGTTTTGGGTCCTCTTCTTGCTTGCGTTATGAATGATCTCATTTTAACTGGTGGACAGTTGGGTCGTACATGTGAAAGAAATTTGTCGACTTGTGGACCACTCTGCTTCACATGTTGAATTTCTGATTGCGTATGTGTTTGATATACAAATTTGATTCTATTAGTAGGGTTTAAAAGGTTTCATTATTTGTATACAATAAAAGAAAACAACCAAGTTTGAACGTAATCGAACCCAAAATAAATCGATAACCTAAATGAATTTAAAAGTTAAAAGACATATTTATTTAAAATTCGAATTCAAGCAGAAATCATAACCATACTAAGCGGTCCATGTTAGATTGTTTTACACTGGATATTACTAGATTGGAAAAAAATAGAATTGAACACTGATGAATCAGATCTTCGACCATAAAATAGCATTTTATTTGACAATGATATTACTTTAACCCCGCGCAGCAAACACCTAGTGACTAGAATAAGCAAGAGACATTATTCAGGATATATATACAAGACACTACTTTCGGGTTGACAAAAATGGTAATAAATAGAAGAAGAAAAAAAAAAGAGTATGTGT